CACGTTCACACAGGGCAGCTCTTCTAAAAGAAAGTTCAAGTATTATATTATCTCAATGTACCAAAAACCAAAAATGGCTTTGTTTACAATCTAAACTGTTTTGATTGTAGCTGTAGCTGTGCTCGGGGAACGCAAACAATTACTGACACTTGGGACATGAAACTCTAAAGGCCCCCAATTGGGAGGCGCCACGGCCCAAAGAAAAAAGGCCTAGGGCCTAAAGGGTTAACCTTGTTGGGTATCACACTTCTCAGCCTCCCCAGGAGGGTTTACCTGTCACCCTTGTCTGGTCCACAAAGGTTTAGTGGACTTGTAGAGGAATCAAGACCATATTCTCAGTGTTCCTTTGTGAGAAATGATGGGATTGCTCACCACAACCCTAACCCAATTCACAGTTAAGCACAAGTGCTGCTGTGTGCTAGCGCTAGACAAATGAACCACATTTGCTAACTGAAGCAGTATGCACAAAGCAACAAAATCCAAACTTTTATTCTCAGTTACTCATTACTCACAGAGCTCAAGTAACATTTCCTCTAAGTATTTTTTTTTTCTCTTAGGTAAATATTTGTCCATTTACCATTTGTGTCATACCACCCACCTCTGGTCTAAAGGCTGTTGCGTTCACGTTTGGATGCTGCTTGGCTGAGATTTTCAGCTGGACCCCTTCGCTTACACCCCATCTGTGAGAATTTCTGGTATCAGCTCGTTATTCTCAGATGCAGGACCTTTCCCCAAAAGCAAAATGTGTGGAACAAATAAACGTGCTACCCTTCAGATCCACACTGAACACTGCCACGGCCTTTCCTGCCTTTAGCTCAGCCTGCTTCTTTTTCTTCAGGGTTTTGTATTGTTGCAGATCTTAACCAGCTTAGGAAAATGAAGAAAAAATGTCCCTCCAACATCTGATCTGGGTATCTAGTGTCCGATTTGCATGATTCCTAGTTCCTTCCCATTTGATCATATTTAGGAGACAAAAATAAAACTTTTAGATTAGCAAAGCTACTCAGACCCATGAACACTCATGCAAAACACGCGCTTGTTTGTCTAGGTCAACATCCCACAATGCATTGTAACATTGCGTATAGATATATTTTTAGCTACTGAACGTTATGCTAATCCTTTACAACCACAATGAGAGATGCATCCACATTCTCAGCTGAGCTTTTTATTGACAGGCTGCCCTATTCACTGTTGAGTGACAGAATTTCAGGATGTATCGTGTGTGTTTTATGCAGATGATGTGATTCTGTTCAAGCCATCACCTCCACCATGCACCAAAGTGGTTTGGATAGGGTTCGGATGGAGGTGGGGCACTCCCATTGGGTTGAGAGAGTCTTTGCTTCTAGTTGTTGCTTAGAAGTATTTTTGTGTCTTACCAGTATTTAAATTGATGATAGGAATAAGCATCGGACAAATAAATAGCCATCTTCTTTGGCCTGTTGGAGCTGAGTTGAAAGTCATACTTCTTGATTTACAAATGACTAACAAGAGATTTTTATTGTGATTGAAAGAACAAGTTCTTGGCTAATGAGCCTCCTCCTGGCAAAGCCATAGATGAAGAGAGGAGCCTCACCATTATAAGAGTTGCTGCTCCTACACATTTAAACCAGTCAGCCGAGCCTGTTTGAGCATATGACTTTGCGATCTCCTGGCTGCCTTCATCCAGAGGTTTTCAGGTCACGTCCCATTGGAGGGAGACTCCGGGGTAGACCCACAGAGTGCCGGAGGGTATGTAATCTCTGGCCTCGGGACACCTTGAGACCCACTACGAGGAGCTGCTGAGTGTCTCTGGCGAGATGGATGAATGAGTTTTTTTCTTGGATCTAAGAAGATGGTTACACAGACGATGAATGGGTGGAGTTTATAATTAAACTGCAACAAGAAACACCTGATATTTGTAATTATGCATGCAGAAAATGTCCTAATCCAAGTGAAAATTGGGTCTTTGTTAAATTCTAGATCATATCTGTTTAAATACAGACTACACAATGAAATTCAAATATTCCCAGTTGCACACCATTTAAACTCCACAGGTGAAACCTTTGATCAGCTACCGAAGTAAGACCAACAACAATCTGAGTGAAAACTTGCATCTGGTCTGAAATGATCCTCACTTGTCAGTGGACACCACACAACCACCCCCCTACCAGAGTTGGACTGCTAGTTAAGCAGTACCATGGGCACAGAATATGGCTAAATCAGCTCCCAGGTGATACAAGCTTTGATGAATGAGCAGGTGCAATGGGCTGCGCAGTGTGTGTTGTCTCCACTCTTGGTTTGCACGTGATGCATTTCTCTCAATTTTTCACGCTGGTAAGAGTTCCTGCTCCATTCTCTTTTCTGCTGACCTGCATGTTGCTTTCCACTAACTCCTCATTATTATGGATATGCTTGGATACACGTGGCGTTAATTCAAAAGGGAGCCTCGTCTGCTATTCTTAACGTGCCGCGAGGAAAACACTGCCATTTCCACACCGTATTTTCTGCATTATGTTTTCTCTGCCTGTGCACTGGAGGCGGCCGTTTGTTCCTGCAGCAACTACCTCACAAACACCCAGTGATCAAAATGCAGCTCCTGCAGAAAATATCCCGCTATGATGCACATATGTGAATAGAATCTATTGGTGGGGAGGATACAAACTGTTTGTGCATTCTCCTGAAAATGTCTAATGAAAAAAAAAACAAGGTGTATATAGGTCATGCTCTCCATGCTTTTACCAACACCTCTAAGCTCTGTTCACAATAGCAATTTTTAAATCATGTAGAGCCGGGGTATTTAATTCTGGGCCTGGAGGGCCAGTATCCAGCAGGTTTTCTTGTTCTCTTGTTTCTCAACACACTTGATTTAGTGGTTGAATCACCTGTGCAGCAGCTCATCGGGCTCTGCAGAAGCCTGTTAATCACCTGCTGATTGAAATCAGGTGTGTTGAAACAGAGTTCAAACTAAAACGTGCGGGATACCGGCCCGCCAGGCCGGGAACTGAATACCACTGATGTAGAGGATTTTATGACACCGTCTGTGGTCAAACTGAATTTCAGAACTAATGTTGCATTTAATAATGAAATGTACAGATTTAGATACCTTTTGAACAGCCATCTTGACAGCTTGCTGTAGAAATACTACAGAAATGTATTTTAAAACACCAAACATTTAAACTTCAAATCAGACATTAATGATTTATTTCACTTTCCATGCAAGTGGCGTTGAGTTCCTTAGAACGTTTTACACAAATTATTAATTGGCTAATCTAAGATGTTTAGTGACTGAGAAGATTATCTTAATAATCTTTATCTTTATCCTATATATGCGAATATATATTCCGACCACAACCCACAGACAAAGCTCAGTCGTGGGTAGGCATGGGTACCTTTGACATTTGAATCGATTCTGTACTAATTCCCAGTACCTAGGAATCTATACCGGTACTTAACGGTACCAATTTTAGATACATTTGAGTGTTTAATACTTTAATTCTCTTTTATAATTAAATATATATTTTTCTCAATATATAACCATATTTGATAAATATCACGATAAATAACATACAACTGTTTGTATCTTAACATCGTCCTTGTAGTTCTATAAGCTGATAATTAAACTGAAGCAAACATCTTCACTGTGAACTAAATTTACTGTGTATCTTCATTCCTTTTGCCATCCTTTTTCTTTGATTTTTCCTTCTGGGAAGTTGGTATTTCTGAGGAGAAAGCAAATGCACCATTAGATGATAACAATGGTGGCAATGGAAGCTAATTTATCAAGCTAATGTTATCTACAGTTTATTTAGCTGCTGGAGCAGATTAAAACGATGATGCCTCACACTTAGATCGTTGTCGCTGGTTTCATCTTCACCCAATCACCTGTCGCATTTAGTAAAGTGAAGCCAAACTTTAAAGCGCGTTCATGTTCTTCCAGTCGGAAATTCGGAGTTCCGAGGAGAAAGCGAACGCACCATTAGCAAAACGGAAGTTAACATATCAAGCTAACTTTATCTTAAACATTTTATTTACCTACCGGAGCAGATTAAGATGAGGATATCTCACTTAGATCGTTGTCACTGGTTTCATCATCACCCAGTTACCCATCACATTGAAGTGGACCCAAGCTTTAGCGTGGGTTCTTTCTACCATGCTGCTCTGTTTACAACTAGCTCGCAGTGACTGACATAACACTCTTGCGCATGCGCAGCTGTCTAGGCAAGTTCTCGTTATGAAGGACGGGTACCGAAACGAGGCACCGTTTCAAGTGACGTGAATCGGTGTTCAGTCGGTACTGTGGAATTCGGTCGGTACCTTAAAAATTACCGAATTTGGTACCCATCGCTAGTCGTGGGGCGGGATCCATGGCTGTTTTACAAGCTGGCGCTGCATGCAATTGGACAACAAACAAGGTGACGCCACAGACTCGTGACTACGGGTGTCAGTCATCCGGGTAATCTGCCATACTCCATCAAAGAAGACGCAAATAAGGACTTAAGTTCCTCTATCTGCTCTTGGCTCAAAGAAAAACCCAAGTCTAAATAATCCTAAGCCGTTTCAAACAAGGCAATGCCATCTTTGTTGTTCCGCACCGTTGCATCATCCTGCCCACAAAACTGTGCGCTGTGATTGGCACAACACAATACTGCTCAGGCCAATGGTAGACCTGCTAAGGTTCCAATGGAGTGTGGCTAGACCAACCTGCAGAACAAAATCATTTTGCTACAGCAACTGATTTCTAGTCTGGTAACTAAAGACACTTTCACATTGATAATCAGACCTCAAGCACCTCGTGATTTTTATCTTGAGAGGCGCTATAGAAATGATAATTTCTTCTTCTTCTTCTGGTTAAAATTCACTGCTGAGTTCATTTTTACATAGTTTTTTCATGTGTTTTGGTTTCTTTTCACTCTGCACGTTAAACAAAATGTTTCGCTACAAACCACATTCAGTGTGACCCACATTTGCTGTGTTCACCTGTTTGTTTAACTATTCAAATCTTTTCCTGTTTCCACCTGCAGGAGTGTGCCTGGTGCTGGGATGCATGATCTTCCCTGACGGATGGGATGCAGAAGTGATCCAGGACATGTGTGGGGAGCAATCAGGAAAATACTCCCTGGGTAATTGCTCCGTACGCTGGGCCTACATGTTGGCCATTATGGGCATCCTGGATGCCCTCATCCTGTCCTTCCTAGCCTTTGTTCTGGGAAACCGGCAGACAGACTTCTATCTTGATGATCTGCAGACAGACAACAAAGGTGAGGAAAGAAAAATGAAACATTACATTTGATAGTGGTCCTTATTTGACCTAATGATTTATGTTTTTTTTTCATTTTACCATTACACATGTTTAACTATAATTCTGTGAGATGACAAGGATGTATCGAATCAAGTCAAAATGATTTAAAAATGGGACAAAGTATTAAAAAGTCAAAAGTATAATTTCAATGAAACAGAAAAGGACCCGGATCAGCTGTTTGACTCCTCAGACTTTTCTACTTTAGGTCTGTTTCCACTATCGGACCTTCCAAGTTATTTTACCAGACCTTCATGTCCTCCATTTCACCAGTCCGGCCCAGAACTGCCACTTTCCGGAGGTTTTCAGGGGCCAACCGAGTCCCTGAACTGGGTTACGTACCCAGAGATGACCCAGTAGACTCACTGGGCAGGACTTATAGTTAACTCATGCTGATTGGTTGTGCCTCAGTAGGAAGTGACATCAGCAGACGTCGCCAAACAACCAGCATTTGGAAATTTGGAAGATTTGCTAATAAAGCAGAATGAAGCAAAAAAAATAAAAAATAAAGAGCTGCTTGGATGCACATAATTGTGGCTCAAGATCACGGATGAAGCCAGCAGGACCACATCATCTGCAAAAAGCAGAGACCTGATCCTTTGGCCACCTAAACCGATCCCCTCAACACCTTGGCTGCGCCTTGAAATCCTGTCCATAAAGTTATGAACTGAGTCTGTGACAACGGTCAGCCTTGCCGGAGTCCATGGACGTAATTTCTTTGGGGGGGACAGGGGGACATGACCCCCCCGGCCACTTTTTCCCAATGTCAAGGTTTGACCCCTGCACTTTTTACCATCCAAAAACAATATTACGCCACATTAAATAGACACTGGTTTAGCATTAGGACCAAGCGGAAAACAACCGTTTGTATTGAAGCCCGTCTCCCATTAGAACATACTGTCCTCATGCCGGTTGTGTCCCGCCCCACTTCTAAAGACTAACTAAGTCAATGGCGAAGTCCAACTCTCACTGGGAATGAGCTCGACTCACTGCCGGCAATGAGGACCAAGCTCTGGCACCGGTCATACAGGGTCTTATTTGTCCGTATCAACTGGCCTGGTACCCTGTACTCCTAGATTACCCCCCACAGGGCCCTCTGAGGTACACGGTTGAACGCCTACTCCGAGTCCACAAAACAGATGTAGATTGGTTGGGCAAACGTCCACAAACCTTCCAGGACCCGCCTAGGGGTATAGAGCTGATCCAGTGTTCCACGGTCAGGATGATGAAAACCAAATTGCCCCCCTGAACATCTAAAAACACAAGGGAATATGAGTACCATAGCCCAGAATTGGTTTACGCTGTTGTACTGAGTAGTTTTACCCATAATGCCTAAAAAGGTGAACTAGTCCAACTCTCATTTCCATGAGCAACATTTGCTCAGTTGAAAAATGAATGCAATCTGACCTCAGTATCTCCAGCCAAATTGCTTTCAGGGCTGAATCCAAGAGTGGGGGAGGGTCCTCTGGGGGCTTTCTGACAGTTTGCATGATATTGCATCAGTGTGGCTGAATCACATTGTTCTACGCTCCATAAAGGAAGGAGAATAGGAAGTAAGGGAAAGCAGAAAGCGGTGGTAGAAGGGCAAGAGTGGCACATATTATTCTGAACAATAAACTCTCCTTATATAAAATTTTTGTTTGATCAAACTCCAAAACCCCAAAGTGCATCATCGCAAAACAATGAGCAGCGGTGGAAAAGAGGAGGAAAGATGAGACCAAACAGAGCATTAGAGGTGTGCAGACAGAGTAAAAGAGGAGGAGTGAGAGGAAGAGTCAGGGAGAATGGTGACAAAAGATGTCTTGTTTTTTTCTGACGGTCTATCTCCATGATGGTTACCATGGTAACTGGAGATATTCCAGAGCGTGGGCGTGTCTTTCAGTTCTTATCTGATTAACCTCAGCTGATTTAGGTGTATGTTTTACTTTTTTCATTTCTAAAACATTAAATACTCTATAAATCTAATTATGACTTAATTAATACATATTCTAGATTTTTTTCCCAACAAATGTAGCTTTCAATTGGATTTATGTTTTTCTTTCTTAAAATTTATTTAAAATTGAGTAAAGTGCAAGTGAAGTTTATATAAAACTCATTGTAGAAAGATACAGTGGAATGATGAGTGAGTCGTGGCGTTTATTTCTTTTATTGACTTGTTCAAAACTGTAACAGCAAGCTAACCTCAAGACAACAAACAACTACACTTCCTGTAATGCTAGAGACAAACCACCGCAGTTGGTGCTCTCTACCGTAAAACACCAGATACAAAACAATATGTATCTACTTATCGACTGTATGACTCGTCTTTGCATCTCATCTAGAATATTCTGGTGCTGATCCGTAGGCCTAACTGTTGTTGATTTTGCTCAGAAAAATGAACTGCAGTAACCAGATTTGACCACAGGATGCCATTCTTACACATTGCACCTTTAATTTAAATCCTGTTTTTGGGTTTAACTGACCCAATATTTGTGTTTGAAAACAAACCTCACCCGACCTGTCTGCTGATAGCTAGTTAAAAGCAGTTTTGCTTGCTGAGCTGTGACCTGAGTGCTTAACTCTCACTTATGTAAGTGTATTCATGTTGTGCAACAACATGCACTCTTCCCAGTCATGTCTCACGTTATGCCAACACTTGTTTTCCTTTTGTGTCCTTGCAGATTTTGCCGTTTCAAGGGTAAGCTGACTTGCACTGCACACTTCCTGTGAATCATGTTTAAAGATGAGGCTCAGTAATTAACACACGTCTCTAAAAGTAGTCTGATAAGGTGGCAGCAAACGTTCTGAGCTCAGTGTTCATTATTATGGGATGCTCATAAGCACCTAATGATTGTTGCAGTTGTAGCAGAATAGTTTATTTATTTTATTTATGTCTCCATGTTTTTGGATGCTTGCAAAAAACATTTCTTAAAATTTATAGACATATTCCCGATATAGATGAAATAACTCATCCGTGTTTCAATCAGTAGGAAAATATACAGAATTATCCTTTAATTTCTTTCTATTATTTTAGTGGTTTTTTTTTTATTGATTGTTAAAATGAGCACCTCCAAATCTGAGACCATGGTTTTTGACTGGGAAAGGGTGGCTTGCCAACTCCGGGTCGGGAGAGTGGTCCTACCTCAAGTGGAGGAGTTTAAGTATCTCAGGGTCTTGTTCACGAGTGAGGGTAGGAGGGATCGGGAGATCGACAGGCGGATTGGTTTGGCATCTGCAGTGATGCGGACGCTGAGCCGATCTGTCGTGGTGAAGAGGGAGCTGAGCCAGAAAGCCAGGCTCTCGATTTACCGGTCGATCTACGTCCCAATCCTCACCTATGGTCATGAGCTTTGGGTAATGACCGAAAGAACGAGATCGCGGATACAAGCGGCCAAAATGAGTTTCCTCTAGGGTGGCTGGGCTCAGCCTTAGAGATAGGGTGAGGAGCTCGGTCATTCGGGAGGGACTCGGAGTAGAACCGCTGCTCCTCCGGATCGAAAGGAGACAGTTGAGGTAGTTTGGGCATCTGGTCAGGATGCCTCCTGGACGCCTCCCCGGGGAGGTGTTTCTGGCATGTCCTGCCGGAGGGAAGCCCCTGGGTCGACCCAGGACACGTTGGAGAGATTACATCTCCAATCTGGTCTGGGAACACCTTGGGGTCCTGCCGGAGGTGCTGGTGGAGGTGGCCGGGGAGAGGACGGTCTGGAGCTCCCTAGTTGGGATGCTGCCCCCGCGACCCGGACCTGGATAAGCGGAGGAAGATGACGAAACTATTTACTTTATTATTTATTTTTCATTTAAATAGTTTTGTGGTCTTTGATTTGTTAATTTATCAGTTTTTATCTTATGTTCATATCTTATGTAATATTTTAGAAACTAAAATGGTTTAGAGAGAAAACGTGAAATGTAGTTTTCAAAATAAAATGCGTGAGTAGATTTACCTTCAGAGTTCAGAGTGATGAATCTCAATGCCACAGATTTTCTGCCATCATCATTTTGTTATGTTTTCATCCAACAATCATTTAAACAAAGACCTTCCTGTCTTGTCTCCGCCAGATCGAAGTGCGGGGCAGAAGAGATCCTCGTTACGGAGTGCAACGTCTTCACTGAGGGCAACAATGACACTGAACCACTTCTGTCTTTCTCCTTCTCTTCTCTTTCTCCCGATCTTTCTATTCTCCTTTCCTCTCCAACGATCAGGATATCTCCCAATCTCAATGCCGACACCAAGTGTACAGGATACTGTAAGATATAAAAAAAAAATCTAAGGATAAACTATATTTTGAAAAAATATATATAAAAGGCTGTACAGTGCATTTAACACTCAACAGATACCTTTATGATAAAAAATATTTACTGTATTTAAAGTCTTGATTTGTGTGAGAAATCCAATCCTTGAGATGAAGAACCATCATGCCCGTTACTTTCTGAAACCTTTCTTTTAAAGCGTTGCGATTTGTTGACTTTAGGTTTGCGTGTTGTGTTCATTCATGGCATCAGACAGCCGACTAGCGGCACTCCTCGCACAGACACTGAGTCGAGGCTCGCAATACAGCAGCAAGTCTGTTTATTACGTGTTATAAAAAAAGAAATTTTTTAAAAGAATCAACGGGGACTCGTATGGCTCTTCATCTAAGGACTTTTAAATGAGCGGAGTTCCCCATCGCAGCTTTACAGAACTTAACATCTCTGGGAGATTCTCTACTGTACATAATCAACACTGTAAATAGCATTTCTGCTGAAAGAAAACAGCCGACAACAAAACCTCATCTGACTCCAGTGCATTTGAGTATTCCACCCTTGGTTTTGGTGTTCCTCGCGCAGGAAAAGCATCTGAGTTTGTGTTTCTATGACTCCTCACTGCTGTTCTAGACAGATCGCACAGATGTAAATAAAAATGTTACTTCAGCCAGATTTTTCACAGAGAAAAAGAGTACCTTTTTTTCATGATAGGAAAGTAGACACTTCTCCTGCATCAACATGGCCTCAAAGGAAGCTGCTTATGGTAGTTGTTCACCCTTTAGTATGTAGTCATATCTGACATTTAAAAATGCACTCGTTGTTTTCCGTGCTTTGAGCTAATTTCGGCACTTGTTTCCAGTGTGCAGTTTACTCCAGTTAATGGTCCCAGCAAACAGTGATTCGTTTACTCTGCAGATGTCTTAAGACCGTGCGAACATGACCGCTGGAGTTGGCCCCAAGTGCTGCATTGTCTTAAGGTGAAGAAGCAGCGAAGGTGGGACACCCGTCTCTTAGAGATATTTCAGCTAGAACAAAGAATACATTCAAACAACGTGGCGAAAGTTGATGAGAAACATTCTGAGAAACATTTAGATTTTATGTCATCTGACCGTTTTCCAGAAAATAAAAAAAGTTTTAAGAAACATCTTGATAGATGATTTGCTGGGCTCGATTAGAATTTTTGAAAGTTTCCAAAACTGTGTTCTTTACATTAACATATTAGAGAGTGTTTCACGCCCGCTACTTTTTTCATAACCAACACTCGCAAGAAATGCAAAGATTTCAGGCGTCGTGCAAGATCGTTTAAAGATTTAGCACTTTTTCTATGACGTTTGCCACCATTAAACCTGGTAAATCTGTCATAAATAATTCATTTTAAAGCGATCTGGGGTGTTTTTCCATTATGGGCTGCCTATTCTCTCAGAAAAACCTTCAGTGACAGGAGACTTCTGATGGTTTTCTTTTGCAGGCAGACTGAACTATTCACTGGAGATTTGTGTTAATGATGGTGGTGATGAGTCTGTCCTAAAGTACAGTCATCATTTTTTGTTCCCAGGTGTGTTTAGAGGTGGGAATTCATTCATGTGCACAAAATAAACACATTTCTAAATAATTTCAAAAGAAAGAAGTCAGTTCAGCTCTTAATTATTCATCCAGTGTTTTTCTTGTTTTTGGCACAAGTAGATTTTGGGGGGCTGTGAAGTTTCTGGTTGCATATCTACAGTTTATGTAGCAAAAATGGCCAAATGCAAGCAGTTCCTTAATGCTTTAAAAAAAAGAAATCCATGAAAATGATTCTTTCATGTGACTCCTAAAGCCTTAAATCTGAACCGTCCTGACAGTTTAATGGCATTTTATGAATTGGAGACTTTAAAATCTCAGATATTCAAATTATAATCATGCCTTAAATATTTTCTTTGGGACATTTTGAAGACAAAAAGAAGATTCTGTAATTTTCTTTCATTAATCAATATATATATGTTTTATTTATTTTTTGCTTTTGTTGTTGGAACAAAATTCCTGCAGGATGAATGTTTAGCTTGGGTTCAGTTCTGTGACTCGACACTGCACCCATGAGCCAAGTAATGACGTCATGCGTCTCCACCAGTGACACTGATCGTTGTGATTCCAGTGACAAGTGGGATTCTACCGTGACAACAATGTGACAAAGTAGGCTGCTGTAATCCAGGGCACCATGGGGCTTTTATCCCTCTCAGAGCAGCACTTCAGGCTGACATACTGTAACTGAAACTCCCAAAGCTTGGGTTAAGTCATGACAGAAATAAAACTAGCTGTATGCATGGATAATTGTTTCATGGGAGACACTGGCATGCAGCGGCCCCACAAAAAGAAAAAGGTACAATCACACTGTAAGCCGCTGAAGCGGAGGGTTTCTTTCACCGAACAACACGGCCCATGGGTGGACCGGACCTGCCCACATTGGGTAAATGGCCCTCCGGGATGACGCCTGGTAAGCCAGATGACCAGTCCACCCCCGACAAGGCCTAAACATTTTGGGCCATGACATCTGGAATCCATGTTACATTGTTAAGAATGCACTCTTTAAGGGATACTTCTTTTTTTTATTATGACAGTTTGAGGAGTCAGTGTTTTATCTGCAGTAGATCGTCAGTGCTATTCTTGTTAGCACAACCGTTAGAGCACTCCAACAACAAATGAAACTGAATGTGGGGATAAAACTAAATAATAATAAACAAATAAAGGCTACATTTTCCCCATCAAAACTCATTCAAAGCTGCAATCCCAAATTTGGCTAACAAAGTAGCTTAAAACATTTTTATTCATGCCTTGTAACAACGTTCTAACATAATAAAAATCTAAATATATAGAATAGACCATATCAATCCCACAGTGGGGAAATTCCCTTGTTATAGCAGCACTGAGAAAAGGAAGAAAAAGAATAACCAAGTACAGGTAATTGCGCAAAGGCGGTAAGATATTGTTGCAACCTTCAACCACTAAAAACAATTTATAAAAATAGAGAATCGAATTTTCCTAATACATGCAGCATAAGGAACGCAATGCATCTTGTATTGCACAAGTACTAAACACATACTGAGCATGGCATTGGTGGAATTGTGTACCAGGATAATGCCAGTACCACTTAAACTGAGGAGTTATACACTCGTAGAGCAGATGGGATGAATGACCTACGGTAGCGTTCTGTTTTATATCTTGGATGTCTCAGTCTGCCTCTGAAGGAGCTGTCAATGGCCTCCACAGTGGGATGGAGTGGGTGGGAGGGTTTTCCAAGATGGAGGTCAGCTTCACCATCATCGTTTCACACATCTTGGGTGTTTCTCAATGTCAAGGCACCTGGCCTTGGGAGGTGATGTCTTGCGAGGCCAGGTGCCTTGCTTACGAGGACACCGTCCTTCCTTGGTCAAAGAAAATGGTTAAATGGAACAGACTTGCATCACCGTGGCCGCGGCTTCCACGGCGGTCACGTAACGTCACGTGACACGGGAGATAATGTTATATTTCATACGTATTAGTTTCAATATAAATATACAACAAGCCTTTAACTTTTAAATTGTGTATACGTTTATTAAATTAAATATATAAGTGAGTTGCTACCCACTAGCCACCGAAGCTGCAACTACTAAGCAACTAACCAACCATAGATAACTTCTTTGGATGTAAAAAAAACCCATTTACAATTAGCTGACTTACAGTACTTTTAAACTTGAAATTTGCCCCCGAAGTAGCTGCCGGCTTCTGATCTGCCGTCTTTTTGAAAGTACCGCGGTGTATTGTGGGTTATTTTGACCAAGGCTAGGCTACAAGACACCTCCCTTGTATCCTTGCTCAGCTAGCTAAACGACTAACAAACGGAGAACACACGCCTCAGTAGAACATGAACATTGGAACACGTCTTGGCGGCTCCCGATGACGTATCTCCTAGTCAACCGGGGTGGGGCCAAGACATCAAGGCAAGGTTCCTTGGCATTGAGAAACACCCTCAGTCTGCCTCTGAAGGAGCTGTCTATGGCCTCTGTAGTGTATTGGAGTGGGTGGGAGGGATTTCCAAGATGGAGGTCAGCTTCACCATCATCCTCCTTTCACATATCTTGTCAACTGAATCCAGAACCAGGCTAGCTTTCTCAGCTATATAAATATACTGTGGAGATTTTAAAGAAATGAAAAAATAATAATAATAAAGTGGTTCTCTGGTGTTTGCCTGAAAACCTCCACCAATAACGTGTTTTGGACCAAAAGCAACTATTGGACAATCCGGTTGCCGGTCTTGCCAAAACGCCGCACTTATCTGGGTCCACCATTAATTACGCACTTTCGTATTTAGTAGCAGAACACCGCTGGTGTGAGAGGTTCTCCACTCAATAATGTCAGAGAAGGAGAAACAGTCAGGCTGCTACCACGTCAACAAAAACACTATTTGAAGTCACGGACAACAAAAGACGTTTCTGGGAAGATTCCCAAGGGGAGGGGTGTATGTCACCATCACTATTTTTCTATGCAGAACCTAGCTTGTTTGCCGATTTGTTATGACAGCTGTACACATACGACAGTTGCTCTCGTTTTCATTCCACAACATTCATATTCCGTGCTATGGGTTAATATACTGATGGACCATCCCACTTGGGTGTCCTTTGCACAGAATGCTCTCTAGATTCTGCTAGAATAGCGGAGAAACGTAAAAACCTTCTGCATGAAGGCAGTAATGATGTTTCTATTCATCTAGCACTCACCAAACAGGATTATTAATTTTTATTATTAAATTAAGGTTAAAATATAAAATCAAAAGAGCTAAAACTAGAATTGTAATATAAAAAGTTATATAGATATTAAAATAATGTTGATCATAAATATATGGTAAAAAACTATTTAAAAGCATGCATAAAGAAAGATTACATTAAATAAATAAATACAAATAGATAAATAAATAAATAACCTAAGTAATTAAATAATTTAAAAAGTGAGAGTATTCAGTTAAAAGCTAAGCTAAAAACATGAGTCTTGAGCCTGTTTCTAAAAACATGAACGTTCTCAGCAGCCCTGAGGTCCCCTGGCAGCTCGTTCCAGAGGCGAGGACCGTAGTACTGGAAGGACGCCTTGCCACAGTTTGTTCACAAGATTATACAATCCCGTGTTTCTCTGATTGCTAGCTTTGGTTTGTAGCGTGGTGTCATGAAGAAGAGGAGGAAGATAATTTGAAATTTGAACGATTATAGCTCCATCCCTGCTCCCCTGTAGGTGAACTTTGTGCCACCTTTGCTCCAAATAGCAACATGATAATCTGCTACCACGACAACAAGCCACCACAATGTCAGAAGGAATACTAAATATCACCCGAATCTGTAATACAGACCTTTAAACCTACTCAACACCCTGCCAATGCCATCCTGCTTTTATTCAGAGTTGGTCTCTGAATTTAACAGAAAATGTGACCGACGTTCTTCTAGACGATGCTTTTCGAAGCATTTAAAACATGGGAAATGTTTGTTCTTCAGACTAAACATACTAATATGCTCGTCACCATAGATTTCACCATATTCCATCCATTAACATTTAAATGTCAACGCTCTACCTGCTGCATTCAGACAAGTGTGCATCTGCATGAGGGTTTGATGAAAACTGAGTGCTAATTTCAAATAAAAGTCAATATATTTTTATGCAGTGCACAAAAAAATTTGTTTTTGAAACAAAACAGCAGCTAACTTTCAGCTGACTGGATGAACACATTGACCTGTGACAACATGAATGCTGTTGGATGGGAAAATATCATGACAAAGTGAAGTCTGATGCTAAACTCACAAGTTGTAAAGCCATTTCATTGGACCCAAGTTTAAACTTGTACTATGCTTTTGAGCTTGATTTGTTTTCGATGGTAACATTTGCACCTCTTTTGCTCCTGACGGGCTCTGAACTGGGACATGGAGTTGCACTGATCGCTATCTACAGCAGTTTAAACACCAACTACACCACCAAAAAAAAAAAGAACTATCCCTCTGACACATCCACCGTGGAAAAGTCACAGATTTTACCTCAAACTGACAAATGAAACATCTACACTTACTCTACATAACAAATTTTGCCTAATTGGTAACTTTAAACAGTTGATGTCTAACTTACTGAGTTAAACGGTTTAACTGGGTGGGTTACTGGTGCATTCCTGCACTATTTACCTATGAGGAGCAGATAGCTAGATATATGGTGTGTTTTGTAGAATGGTAGCTAGCTAACTCTCAGGAAGCTGTTTAAAATACTGTATTAAAGGCTCATTATGGAAATCACCAGCCAACGCGTCAAACAGAAGAAAAGTGGTTGAGGTCGGGGTTGGAACCATGTGACTGAGAGTAGCCTAGCGCTGTTGTGGTTTTCCTCGCTGGGCTTTTAAGACAATATGCTAACAGCCCTCATGTTGACCCTAATGATGCTGTCCATGCAGGCTCTGCACAGACGCCTGGCCTGCATCTATCAACAGTCTTGGTGTAGAAGTGCTGGGCCCTCATTCTAGAGAAGTTACTTTCTATTTAACTGTGCAAGCATGAAAACTCCTCTGCTACCTTCATCTGGTGAAACAAGATGTGCATCTTTGTTTTCATGTGTACATAGTTATCTCAAAAGAATCACTACACCTTTTTTTCCTCTTACAGTCTATGTTGGGATTTAATCATCTCCTAGAGTGTGCATCTATCATATGTTGGTACTTTCACAGGCCCAGGACAGATGTCATAAAACACAAGGAAAACAAGGAAACAAACCCTAAGGCCTCTGGTTGAGTCAGAACCTGATCCGTTCCTCTCTCTGGGGACTCTGTTCCTGAGAACTTGGCGATGAACTGAAAAAATAGAACCTTAATAAGGAACTGATCTTACCTTAACCCTGATGAGCACATATTTGTACCACTCCTGGTGCCTCTAAGAACTCTTGATTATTCTGATGTGGTGCAGAACCAGCAAAACAAGTAGTGACACGGTAGGTTTTTTTTCTACTAAAGACTACTTCTTCATACTGAGCTCTGAAACCAGGTGGGTTATTTGTAGATATGAGGTCAATTCAGTTTAAAGGCAAAAAAATAAAAATAAAAGCAACCAAGCATTGTTTTAATTAATTAATTAATTAATTAATTAATTAATTAATTTATTTATCTATTTATTTATTTATTTATTTTAGTTGGTGGAAATGTTTTAATATAAAAAAATGTGTATTTCGTTCTTTATTTCAAAATAGAATTTATTGGTGATTGGACTTTAAAGCTGAATTCACCTCAGTCTAGAACTACAAGATTATTTAGTGATGTGAAAAAATGACTGAAAAGGTATAGTCAGTGAGAAGAAACTTTCAAATGCTAGCAGCAAACAAAATGTTTGTGGATTATGTAAATGTCACTGAACTATCATCTTTTGATCATGCAATATCACATTTAAAGATGTGTTTTGTGGGTGGGAGTGGTCGGGAGAAACAAACTACTATGTTCAGTGACTTATGTTATAATATTTGATTTTCTGTTGATTCCTGAAATGAAGATGTTGCTGAAATATCATCCTCTACCATGTGTTACCATAGAAAATAAAATAACAATGATCAGTTTTGGTTTTGTACAACAAAAGAATGATATACAGATATTTGTCGAGTATTTCTGACGAGATCTTTGTTTCTGTGTTCACTACAGACTCTTTCCTTTCTCTTATAGTTTTCTTTCAAAGTATTTGGGTTTGATGTATGATGGTTGCTGTTCAGTCACATCAGACTTAACATCCCAGATTCAGTTTTGACTCAGTAACGGACAACTGCTTGTTAACATCTCAATGCCCAACATTTACGAAAAAAAAAAAGTCAGAGAAGAAAAAATATATTGTTTGTAATGTTACTTAATGAAAGACGAGCAGAAAGACCCAGAACGAGGCCCGTTTGTGGCCGTGGTTTATGCTAACTGTTGGTTTTAATTTTAAATTCTGTCTAATTCCTATTTGTGAATAGTATTCTAACTCACAGTGATGAGAATTTCTGTTATTAAAACACATTTTGAAAAAGTTAAATAAAGATATTTTACATTCATAAACCTAATCCTGATTGAATCAATTTATTTGGGAACATGTTGTAGCGACGTGAATGGCCTCATATTTGTGACCCAAAGGTCACACTTCCCCAGCTGGGTAAAGCTGTAATTTTTGTTCCACAGATTATCCATCAGGAGCCGTGCAGTCTGCTAAACACCATCTTTATCTGTCTGCTGTTCCGTCCCAAGATGAAGGACACTTCAAGATTTTAAAATTATAATTTTAATAAACTGATTTTACTGTTTATTACAATCATATAATAACCATCATAAATAATCATCATGGTTCAGTATAAATGTATTTAATTACTGAAATGACTTACTATTCTTTGGGTTAATAATAATTGTTATTTATGATAATCAGTAATGTGTGATCAGTAACCAGAAGGTCTTTGGCACGTGTACACCTCATGCAGGACTGAATCCAGGGTAAAAGTTAACTTGCTCTCATATGTCTTGGCTCCATAACAACAAGCTTTCTGACGCTGAAAGGGCGTGTTCTGAGGTTTTGTTAAAACCAAATCTCCGCAGCTCAAGTTCAGTTCTTGAACCAACCAGAGGACGAGGGTCGGCTGCCTAAGCCTCAATAAGCTGTTCTGTCACGCAGATAGAATTGCTCCGAATAAACGCACCTGTAACCAGCTGACGCAAAACTCCTTCATAGTTATTGATTTTGAGACGCAAATAGTTTCATCAGTCGTTGTGACCCGGAGACATCTCAGGACCGATTTGAGTCGCACTAAGGTCCTTCTACCAACCTCGTGCTCGGAGCAAACCATCTCCACCTGACATCTCGGATCCAATGAGGGTCTCCTGAACTGGGTGAGGTAGACACTTTCCGACAGATGGCGTCTGATGCTGTTCTCTCTAACCCCCAAATTCCACTACCTCCGCTCCGCTCCAACACAAACGCCGGAGCAAAATCGGTCCCTTTGTAGTCAATCAGAGCAATTCCACTACTGCGGCCGTGCTCCGGCAGTGCGGCGCCGTGCGCCGTCCTCTGTTCCGGCATCCGGCAAAAATAGAATCGATCCTATTTTCGCCGGACGCCAGAGCACCTCCGCAGTAAATGGACAGAAATCACAACGGCCCAACAGGAAAAGGAGCAAACACAATTTCCGTTTTTCACAATAAATCGATAAACAAAAGGCATTTTTTGTTTCATATGCACAGGTTAAACAACTTTCAACAACTATCAATGGCGGCCGAAGTTTAAATGCACAAAAATAAGCCATAAATACAGTTTCTACTATCAAAGTAGTCACACTTTGTTGATCCAAACACTGCTGATGTCTCAACACAAATGATGGGCAGATTAAACAGCTCATGCCGATGCTTCTCCCACACAGCGGGTGTTTGGATCTAACTTCCGCGTTTATTGCTCGGACTGTATCGCAAGATCTCGAAAGTCCCGTACATGCTTGTTTGCCCATCTCAGGTCTCCGCACCGGAGCGGAGCCGTTGTAGAGCGGGTACCAGTAAAAATTGAGTTCGGAAGCGAGAGGCTGCGGAAGGCGGGGGCGGACCGGAGCGGAGCGGAGGTAGTGGATTTTGGTGGTAAGAAACCACTCACCCCCAAATTCCACTACCTCCGCTCCGCTCCGGTCCGCCCCCGCCTTCCGCAGCCGCTCGCTTCCGAACTCAATTTTTGCTGGTACCCACTCTACAACAGCTCCGCTCCGGTGCGGAGACCTGAGGGGGGCAAACAAGCATGCGCGGGATTTTCGAGATCTTGCGATACAGTCCGAGCAATAAACGTGGAAGTTAGATCCAAACACCTGTTGTGTGGGAGAAGCATCGGCATGAACTGTTTAATCTGCCCATCATTTGTGTTGAGAGATCAGCAGTGTTTGGATCAACAAAGTGTGACTACTTTGATAGTAGAAACTGTATTTATGGCTTAATTTTGTGCATTTAAACTTCAGCCGCCATTGATAGTGGTTAAAAGTTGTTAAATCTGTGCATATGAAAAAAAAAAACGCCTTTTGTTTATCGATTTATTGTGAAAAACGGAAATTGTGCTTGCTCCTTTTCCTTTTGGGTCGTTGTGATTTCTGTCCATTTACTGCGGAGGTGCTCCGGCGTCCGGCGAAAATAGGATCGATTCTATTTTTGCCGGACGCCGGAACAAGGGGCGGCGCACGGCGCCGCACTGCCGGAGCACAGCCGCAGTAGTGGAATTGCTCTGATTGACTAGAACGGGACCGATTTTGCTCCGGCGTTCGTGTCGGAGCGGAGCGCAGCGGAGCGGAGGTAGTGGAATTTGGGGGTCAGTTAGCTGCAAAACAATATTTTTCACCCAGAACGTGTTTCTCTCTCTGAAAGAAATCTTCTGAGATATCATCCACACATCCAAACCTTGCATTTCATTTTTAGCTTTTCATTCAGACACAGGTTTGCTTTTAATACCAAGTTTAATATCAAAGCTGTCATAAATTGTCAGTTATAAATTGTCATTTATAAACTGTCATTTTCAATTGACATCTTTAAAAATTGTTAGTAATAAATTCTTAACTTTTTAAACCTGACTCTTCTTTGAAATGAAACACAGAAAGGTGTATATTTGGTTATTGAATAAACAAAGGATCCATTAAGTCTTCTGTTTAATAAATAAACTTTGCCGTCAAATTTAATTATTTTAAATTAAAAATTAATCTTTGGATTAAAATATAGACCAAGGCAGTTGGTGTATGAACTTCTATCGATTGTATTAATATCCTAGATATTTATGCATAATATAAGTTCATATGCTAATGTGCCTGGTCTTTCCTCAGGATCTAACCAAACTGATAGCAAACAGTGTTAAATCCTAGTATGTAGATTGCCGACGTTGCAAACTTTTTTTTGCCAGCTTTTATTATTAACGACAGCAAAATCAGCTCACAGTGAATGATCGTTAAAGTGTATCGTTAGACGTATTAGCAGCACGCATCCTGGTCTTTCACTGGAGGAAACAGGGACGTGAAGGTTTTTCAGCGAGCGACCGTTAACCTTGTTGTTTCGTCCCAAGGCCACTGATAGCCAGCCAGAGGCGTGGCACAGACTCAGCTGCTTTCATACCCCACAGCGGCAGCTCAGCTGACATCTCCGTTGGCTGTACTGTATATGAAATGGACGGACCCTCTGTGCCGTCACCTGTAGGTTTCTGAAGAGCTGAACTGAATCCTAATGGGCAGCTCCCGTCACCGCATCTGGGCCTTGTCACGTGTCTCGTTGCTGCCAGGAAAATACAAAAAAGAAGCTGAGAGCTGGGCTGTGAGGCAGATGATTGACACCCATCAAACTTTGAGCCAATGTAGCTACAAGCTAACTGAGCTAATTGAAGCTAACAGAGGTTGGCGGGTGCTTTTAGCCAGATAACTGCAGGTGAGCGACTCGGCGATCCCCCAACTTTTTAGGCTGTAACACTTTGAACGTCAGCCGAGACCTTCCTTGTAGCAAGCCGCTAGCACTGATGACTCATCTGCTATCAGTCAATCAAATGAATAATCAATCAGATTTTATTTATAAAGCACTTTTCAAGCAAAGTGCTACTCAAAGTGCTTTACAAAATGACCCCAAATTCCCATAACAGTTAAAAACATTAACAGACATATGCACACACACACAGACACACACAAATTCAAATTTATATTCCGCTGAGTCCAGATGAGCCAAGTAAGGTAAGGCAAGGAAACACCATCAGAGGAGCCGTCTGCCCCGGCAGCATCGGGTCTTCCACACTAAGTCATGGCACTCAGAGGAGGGGGAGCGTAGACCCCCACCTCCACTTAAACACTACCTATAGAGCACCCAGGAAGCAACAGTCGACCACCGGCCCCGGGGCAGAGGGCCCCTACAGAACACACCCCTAAGTAGTCATCATTTCAAGCTCTAATTACATCCAAACAGTTGAGTTATTAAAAAATTCACCTTCCACAGAGTTGTCACAAATGTAAACTTGACATATTAAAACCAAAATTATGTTTTGAACCAGGCTGTAAATATGTTTATTTCTGCTGTGAAGTTAGCAGTTTCAACATTGGAGTCAATGGGAACCTGCTCTTTTCTGGAGCCAGCCCATAGAAGATGAGGGGAGAACTGGACATCACACATACTGGCTAACGTCACTTACTGATGGTTGATTCAAATCCAAATGTAGCTAAATTTGCAGCTATTAACCACTCCTTAATAAGTTAAGTCTTTGATAATGCAAGTCATGTTACTACCTAATTTGCAAAGCTAAAAATTGAATTAAAACACCAAATTGTTTGAGATTTACATTTTACATTCATCTTCTGGACCGCTTTATCCTGAGTTCGGTTGTTGGGAGGAGAAGACCAGACGTCTCATGGGAAACAGTGATTTGTGGCCAGACTGTACGTATGCACCAACGTTAGTTTGAAGCTGGGAACACACTACACAACTTTGACCTTCTTCACGGATATTGAAAAGGCTTGAAGTTCACACTACAACCAATATGGACAACCAATGACCTGCTGCTGCTAGCTGCTCATAAAAAATGCAAGAAGATAAAACAGGGTTGGCTTCTTCCAAGTTCCTTTTGATCCTTCCTGTATCCCAACTTCTGTTTTTGTTGTTTGCGTCACACATTTTTGCAGATGAGTCGGTAATCAGTTCTCACAGCCTGACTGCATTTGGATTCAGCTCCAAAATGTAAACATCTTTGGTCCACACATTTGCAGATTTCATGTTTTCACTCCTCACATAGTGGCAAATTGTTGTTCTAACTTATATTGCAGACTGCTACGCAATGATGCAAAACTTGGTCCAACTGGTGTCACCAGCTTTAGCCAGTTGAGGCGTCACGCATGGTCGAGTGTGAAGACAGAGGGCTGAACATCTGCTCTGACTGAAGCTGGAAAGGGGGTTGCTGCACATGGACGGGGCTATACGTTGGGACTCGGGAACCTCATTGCGCATTTAGAAGCATAAGATCAATAAATGCTTTCGTATCTGCAGTAGCATAAGAAAAAGATGCTCGATATCTTGCTAGTAGCTTTTTGGC